AGGGAAAATGACCACAAATAGCAGCAGTGTCATGAAAGAACAGAGAGCACACAGACCATGAGTAGCTAGCTAGAGAGCAGGTATACTACCAGAGTTAGGCTTCAATGAAGGAAAATGAAAGCCTGCATTTGTTAAAAGCTCTGGAGTTTTAACTAAAATCCTAGATTTTTAAATGTTGAAAGCTAATTCAATTTTTTTAACGGCAACAGTGTGAGCTAAAAATATGTGATCTGAACAAAATGTATCTGCTCTCTCCCCCAAGCATGTGGCTCCCAGTTTGTGGTTAGGATTAAATGAAGAGATCCCTCCCTATGAAGATCTTTTACTTGCATTTCTTTATTCAGAAGAAACCTTTTTAAAAAAATCCAGTTAAGAAAGTTTGTGCTCTTCTGTCAGCCACTTATGTCCTCATATCATCCAAATAGTTTTTACCTAAGGGCAATTCTACTAGGCACATTCTACTAGGAAAAGAAAGCAACCTATAGGCTTCTATGCTTAAAAGTTTTGATTCATGCCGAAACCGGTTTGGCTCAGTGGATAGAGCGTCGGCCTGCGGACTGAAAGGTCCCGGGTTCGATTCCGGTCAAGGGCATGTACCTGGGTTGCGGGCACATCCCCAGTAGGAGATGTGCAGGAGGCAGCTGATCGATGTTTCTCTCTCATCGATGTTTCTAACTCTCTATCTCTCTCCCTTCTTCTCTGTAAAAAATCAATAAAATATATTTGAAAAAAAAAGTTTTGATTCATGCTGTAATTATGAAAATTTAATTTCTCCTGGGGACACAAATAGTAATTTTATGTACTATCAATTGGCTTTATTGCTATAACAAACTTTTTCATAAGATTTAAGATGCACCAGTGAGCCCAGCCGGTGTGGCTCAGTGGTTGAGTGTCGACCTATGTACCAGGAGGTCACGGTTCAATTCCTAGTCAGGGCATATGCCTGGGTTGTGGGCTCAATTCCCAGTGTGGGGTGTGCAGGAGGCAGCCGATCAATGATTCTCTCTCCTCATTAATGTTTCTATCTGTCTCCCTTTCTCTCTGGAAAAAAAAAAAGATGCACCAGTGACTTGAAATCCAGGAATATAAAGAATATAGAACGTGTTCACATTCTAAAGTTTTCCAATAATTTTAAAAATTCAAAGGTGCCCCGTATACCCTATCACAAATTCGCATACCTAATGAATCATGATCATTTAAAAGAACACAGTTATTCCTCTATAATAACATTTTATTTAAGTTGAACTAATGCAGCATCTTATAAAAAATGTCTGTAATTCTGTCATGCTCCCTTTTTATTTATTTTGCTTTTCCAAAAAAACACTATGCACAAGCCTCAGTTGTGTGTTTTTTTCATCTCAGAGCCAAAAATCCAACATGAAATACGAATCACCTCTAGAGGGGGAAGACTTATAAAAATGCTGCGTACTACTTTGATGTTTTAGCGTTGATTCGACTCGATTTTAATTTGAATTGATATGAAGAGCCACTCTTGTATTCTCTGATTTATCTCTATATGCACTTGACTTAAAATTAACTTCTTTATTGACAAGGAAATTGTAGGGGCCTGAACTTCCGTGAGAGGTTTTGGAAATTTGGAGAGAAGAGAGCATAATGACCCCCTGTAGAGTATCTATTCTCCTTACCTCTCTTTGGCCCTTGTTGACCCTACATATCTCCTGCTCACTTGGTTGTAATTCACTTATCTCCCTGCAGGACAAAGCCTCCCAACTGATAATCCAATGAAACCCGTCCAGCCTCCCTCCTCAATTACATTTGCAGCCAATCCGTAACAATTATAGGGACTAATCGCAGCTGAATAGTGTCTGAGCTGACTGGAATGGAGAAAACAAACCTCTGGGTTTTTAAGGGAACATGCTACATGCCAGGCCTAGCACCAAGCAGAAAGGGAGAGCATTTAAATCTAAATTCTTTTAATATTGTTGTTTTTATTGACTTCAGCGAGAGGAAGGGAGAGGCGTAGAATCATCAATGATGAGAGAAAATCATTGATCCCCTGCCTCCTGCACACCCCTCACTGAGGATCTAGCATGTGCCCTCCTGGTTCAGGTGTTGATGCTCAACTACCAAGCCACACCAGTCAGTCTAAATCTAAATTTTTCGTAAAAGTTTTCAATCAAACCGGGATGTACGTAATCCTACAAACAAAGAAGCAGTACCTAAATGGTTGTCAAACCTTCAGTACACCTAATAACTGCAACTAACTACAAAAGTATTTAAATGGCCTTTATCAAAAACAGAGCTGGCAAGATGGAACTACTGGCACTACTGGATTAGGGAGAAAATAATCTACATACCATTTTACTGTTGTTAACCCAGCACTTATGTACCAACTCTACCGCTCCGAATAGCATATACGAGTTTGAGCAAGTCCCTTAGACTCTCAGAACTTCACAACAATGACATCTGACTTACCCTCACAGATTACAGAAATAAGACAAAATAACAGAAATCCCTGAACTCTTTAAGGATGACTCAAATGTGATATAATACTTAATTACCATCACTGTATAATCTTATACCTTCCAGCTCATAACTATACATTTAATATCTGTGTTTAAAAGAGACTAATATCAAGTGCATGAAAAAATATCTTAGCTTTTCTTAAAACACGGAGTAGCTTAAAAACCAAAATAAAGCATTACAAAGAATTTTATTTAGTTTGAAAGTCTACTAGAAAAAAAATGCAAAGAAAAAGTTCATTCAAAGGTAAACATTAACTCAAACTCCCAGGGAAAACGAGGACGGTTTTCATTGAATCATAACTTTAAGGCACACTCAGCCATCATCAATACTGTTTACCTTGTAGGAGTGTTGCAATCTGGAGAGATTTCTGAGATGGATGTTCTTTCAGAATGTCTAAGACGGTTCTCCCTAAGCTATCCTTTATATTGGCATCAATTCCTGAAAGAAAAAGAAAACCCCACTAGATATACAACACTGGAGTGACCAGAAGACACTGTTAATATATAACTGCTCTAACTTCAAACATATACACACTAAGCATGTTTAAAAAGTCATTTTTTAATAAAGTTACATGTGCACACCTACACATGCAAGATTTTAGTAAATCAGAAGGCATCGACTACTACCAAATATTAGGAATAATCTTGATAATGAATTAACTCTTAAGAATTTTTTTAGAATTATAGCTATTTTAAATTGTAAACTAAATGGTACAAGCTGAAAATATTAAGTTAGAATGTGAATTCCTAAAGTATAATGGTCATGTGATTTATATAGTCTGTGTGTCATAAAAATATTTTTAAATTATACTAATGTAGCATGTGAGTAATATAAGAAAAGTCTTAAAATACTTCAGTAGTCATGAAAGTGGAAAGAGTATGATTATTTAGAACTCTTGTCCAAATACCAAAGTCAAATATTTCATACATTACAATGAATGGTGGCAACACTCATCGTCTGCATGATGAGCAAACTTGCTGAAGTGCATAATTAAAAACCGTTGGAATTATTTTCATTCCGAAAATACATATTGCACTAAAGAACTTACTGTAATGTAGCAAATAGCTTCCGCCACCCTAAAAAAGTTTATAAATCTCAAAACATCTAAAGACAAACAGAGCCACTTTTCAGAATCTGGCCTCAAATGGTAGTTCATCATAGTAAGATTATATATTGTCTTCTATTATTTTTTCAGTTGTGTAGGGTTGTGTGACTAGCACACATTTAATTGATTGCCTCAACACATTTAATATATCACTGTGTTACATGTCAAGTTCCATATACATGAAATTTTAACTTTGCATAAACACCATCAAAATGCCATAGTCTGCCAACGTTTTACACTTTGTTATTTTTTTACAGAGGAAAATAAAAGCATGAAATATACCCATAACACAAAAGACTCATCAATTGTTTCAAATGCCTTTTGACCCTGAAAAGAAATAATCCCTCCGCTGTACCAATTTTATTTCATTTTGATCACAATATACCCGCGAAGACAAATAAACCTACTTTGTTCCTTCAAAGCATTCCCCCTAAAAGGTCCCCTTTAAATCACTGCGGCTGACAAACAACAGCAACTCAGTTGATTAAAAAAAAACCAGAAGGAGAATTTGCCTTAAGGATAGAGAACTCTAATTGCTGTTTACCACAGTTCACAGTATGAAAAGCGAGGGAAATATTCTGTTCTTTAATAAACAAAGCAATTGTCATAAATTCACAGGATCCTTCCTCTTGTGGAAAGCAGAGATTTCCTTTTCCTTTTGGAAGTTGCTCTAGTATATTTTACTGTGACTTAAATGTACATCATTCTAATTTCCAAGAACTTTTTACTAAAACATCTACCAAGTGAAAGAAGGTACACATTTAGGTCAATTTTATCTAAACACTGAGGCTCAATTCTGCATGATATGAATATAAAACTGCAATTTGGAGGGAAGATAAGAAGAAAGAGTGATTATGTAAAAAATAAATAAATAAATTGTTTTCTTTTACTCCTGAAATAAAAAATAGTATGCGCTAAGCCCTGACCGGTTTGGCTCAGTGGATGGAGCATCGGCCTGCGGACTGAGGGGTCCCAGGTTGGATTCCGGTCGGGGGCGTGTACCTTGGTTGCAGGCACATCCCCAGTGGGAGGTGTGCAGGAGGCAGCTGATCGATGTTTCTGACTCTTTATCTGTCTCCCTCCCTCTCTGTAAAAAATCAATAAAATATATATATATTTTAAAATAGTATGTGGTAGAATAAGCTCCATGGGGACTCATGATAGTTACCTGTTTCTAATAGAACTCTCACAACATCCACCTTTCCAAACAAAGCTGCTTCATGAAGTGCACTCCCCTTTTCTGTCTGGAAAAAAAAGAATCAGAAAAAGAAACACAGTTGCATTAGGAATGATTACAGTTTTAAAAAATTGTGTCATTTTATATATTCATACATATTCACTGTAATATCAGCACTTCTCTTTTTTCTTTTAATATATATATATATTTTATTGATTTCAGAAAGGAAGGAAGAGGGAGAGAGAGATAGAATAGGGGTATTGGAGATCAAGCCTACATCCCGGGCATGTGCTCTAACTGGGAATCGAACCTGTGACCTTCTGATTGATGCTCAACCACTGAGCCAAGCTGGCTGGGCTCAGCACTTCTTGAGAGAAAGATAGTGTAAAGAAGACATTCCAGCCCTAACCAGTTTGCCTCAGTGGATAGAGCATCAGCCTGAGGACTGAAGGGTCCCGGGCTCAATTCTGGTCAAGGGCATGTACCTTGGTTGCAGCCACATCCCCAGTAGGGGGTGTGCAGGAGGCAGCTGATCGGTGTTGCTCTCTCATCGATGTTTCTAACTCTCTATCCTTCTCCCTCTCCCTTCTTCTCTGTAAAAAATCAATAAAATATTTTTTTTAAAAAAAAAGAAGACATTCCAGTCTCACCCATTATCCCAGGCAACATCCAGTCAGTCCCTGACACAGAGCCACTTAACTGACTTACAACTGATTCCAGACGAATGAGAGAACCCTGCCAAGATGGAAGAACTACCCAGATGAGCTCAGACTAAACCACCAACCCCAGAATTATGAACTAAGTACACAGTTATGGTGTGAAGCCATTCAGCTTGGGCATAGTTTGTTATGCGGCAACAGCTTACTAATACACAGGGGAGAAGATCACAACCTGACAGGAACCAGAAGAGTCTCTAAAAGATAAGAATGCTACCACTGACTTGGGAGCCAAAACACAGTCAGAAAAGAATAAAATTGTTTTTTAAAAGTTTTGGTAACTTGGGACAGATAATAAAAGCAGGTTACCCTTTCCTTGTGGAGAAACAAAATCTATCCTAATGTTACCCATCCTTCAAAGCTCAACTCAAACCACTTCTCCAAAAAGCTTATTTCTGATAGCCTTAGGTACAATGGTCTTTCCTTCATTAGTTATGTACATACAGCCCATTGTTGTGAAAAGAGGCCTGGACTTTAATCAGTAAGTCTAAATTCACATTCTGGGTGTATCAGCTATGTGTCCTTTGGCAAGTTTCTTAAATCTTTGAATCTGATTGCTCATATCTTAACTGGAAGTTAACAGCTCTCATTCCCTCAGGACAGTTGTGGAGAACTGGATTCTAAATGTGGTGACATATTAAACACAAAGTACATACTCAAAATGTTCAAGTGCATTTATTTCATTCATTTACTTGTTCAACTTTGATGGATTCCTCATGTGTGCTAGTTACTAGAACAAAAGAAACAATTACTAAGGTACCACACACAACTGCTATCTAAGAATTATTTTTCATGTATATAGCCCTCAAATTAGAATGAGTTTAGAGATCATGACTTACATCTCTACATACTTTCCAAAAGTGTGTGACAGGGTGCCTTGAACTTAGTAGTTACAAAAATACTTGCAGACAATTTGACTAATCAAAAAATGGTACCATTTCTACATGTAATGTTTTTTTCTTTTGTTTAACCCTTTGCGGTCATATTAAATTTGGACATGGGTGTCGTGCTGATAGGAATTAATTTCCATTGAAAGAGCAGTGATACATAACATGCAAGATTATGAAGGATAAACAAGATTTATTCATTCTTTTTTGGAACTACGTCACTACTAGTAGAATCACTACAAACGTTATCACTTTCTACATCAGAGTCAGTATTCAAGGTGCCAAAATAAAACTCTTCATCGTTACTTTCAGATTTGCAGTTCACTTCTTTTGGTAACTTTCTTTTTGCCATTTTGGAGTATTATTTTGAAATATCTTAACAAGCAAGAATGCCTAATTACAGTTAAACGTAATTTGTAAAGCTTTATTTGAAATTCTGCGAAGTATCTCCGAAGCTTGTCGATTTCTTCACTCTCAAAAGGCGACTGACTCGCCAAGGTGTTTTGCATGGCGAGTGTGGAACGACCGCGTTGGTTTATATTGAGTTTCGATATCTCCGATTTGTCGGGGCAATGTTTTGGTTCGTGACAAGGTCGCTTAGACACTTAAGAGCTTTCAGAGAAATTATGAACTGATACATGAATGAACAGATTTAAGATTCATACGGTTCCTTGCTGTGGTGGCTGAGAGCAGACAAACGACTGCAAAGGGTTAATATATATATACTAGAGGCCCAGTACACAGATTCGTGCACCAGTGGGGTCCCTCGGTGTGGCCTGTGGAGATCGGGCCGAAACAGGTAGTCCAATGCTGTCTGCCACTCCTGCACATCCTGGCCCCGCTGCGTCTGCCACCGCCACCACTCAGTAGGCTGGCTGCGGCTCCACTGCAGTCTCTGGGTAGAGGCAGCCAGCCATGAGCCTTGTGTCTGGCACCCGTCGGTCAGCAGAGTGGCGCTCCCACTGTGGGAACACACTGACCACTAGGGAGCAGTTCCTGCTTTGAGTGTCTGACCCCTGGTGGTCAGTGCACATTACAGCAAACAGTCGCTTAGGGTTTTATATATATACTAGGGGCCCGGTGCACGAAATTCGTGCACTGGGTGTGCGTGGCGGGGAGTGTCCCTCAGCCCAGCCTGCCCCCTCTCACATACTAAGAGCCCTCAGGCGTTGACCCCCATCACCCTCCAATCGCAGGATCGGCCCCTTGCCCAGGCCTGACGCCTCTGACAGAGGCGCCCTGGATGTGGTTCTGGTGAGGGGCTCTGGCCAGGGAGCACGAAGGGTTCCTGCTGCTAACGTCGGAAGTGCTGTTCGTGGTGAGTGTCAGCGAGGACACGCAGCAGCAGGCCTTCCCCGTCATGGAGATCGACTGTGCACAGTACAGCATGCAAAACAACCTGCTCATCCTGCAGCTCAAGCAGCCAAGAGCAGCCTGTGATGTGGAGGTGGACCAAGTCCGAGAAAGACTGTCGGAACAGCAGTACAACAGGCTGGTGGACTACGTCACCAAGACGTCTTGCCATTTGGCCCCCAGCTGCTCTTCCATGCAGACACCGCCATGCCCTGTGGTGCCTGTGGAACCGCTCCCCTCCAACGTGAAAACATACCATTACCTGGTCGACCCGCATTTTGCTCAAGTCTTCATCAGTAAGTTCACCATGGTGAAAAACAAAGTCCTGAGGAAGGGGTTCCCGTGAGTCCCCTCGCCTGAGGTACCAGTTCCTGCTTATGCAGCATCTGTTTTAATAAGAAACCTAAATAGCTCTTATGTACACAAGGCCAACACCTTTCTACAGTAACTTTTTGGTCTCTTCTAAAATTAATTCAGATTCGTCCACCCTAAAACTAAGATACTTGAATAAAATGGAGTGAAAAACCTTTTTCCATTTGGGGACAGTTGACTAACAGAATCCTGTGGGCTGCAGTCTTACCACAGTTGAAAATACATTCTTTTTTGCTCTATGATATTTGCTACAATTTTTACTATAATGAGGATCTATTAACACTCAGCTAATGTAAAAGATGGTCAGGCCTTAGAATGGAGAGACATTGAAACATCATTTCTAATGACATTGTCTTTGCTGAATACCCTGATCTGCAAAAGTTTGGTCTCTTTAAATGAAATTAAGTATTTAGGATTTTATTGTTTAACTTGTTAAATCTGTTACTTGTAGGTGCTGGTATTCTTTAAGTGAAAGCTGCTGTGTATATTCCTTAAAGTCTGCATTTTATTGAATTTACCAAGCATTCTGATGCCTGTCCAGGTACATTCTGGAAAAATGTGTTTCTATTTTGTTTTAATAGTCAC